TCAAGACCTTATAATAAAAAAAGCTTGTAAGTACTGTGGTTATTCCTTATTTGTGATAGTATCTAGAAATCTAAATCATCCATTTTCAACTTCACTTGTTCAATTGTAGGATGACTTTTATTTCTCATGCCAAGAAAACAATCCATGTCTCTCAATGCAAAGAAATAAAAAATTACTTAAAACGCAATAGTGGACATGTATTAAATTTTTCATAAATTATTAAACGGAAATAATAATTACAGTATAGTGAAAACATAAAACCATTCATGGAATGAAAGTTTGCTGGTCATGCTATGATTTTACCATTCTCTTGTCATATAAAAACTTCCAATTGAATTTAAAACATCATACTCACTTCAAAAAAAAATTCATATATTGCTTCATACATTATATGCAAATAAATAAATAAATACGTACTGTATCAAAGCTGGGATTCTATTTAGCATAATAAAGAACTAGATTTTCACCATACTGCAAAAAAAAAAAAAAAAAAAAAAGCATTAATGTTTAATTTTATTGATGAAACCGTAACTTACATGTGGTGCTCATTCGCCAGATGGTTCAGGAAAGGAATTCTCTGCAGCTGCTTGACTGCGTGATCTTGATTTTGATAGTTATTTCCCCTTTGCTTTATTGCTCAAGGTTCTGTTTTTTTGTACTCGATTCAAATTTATTGATTCTGTTCGGGTTTTTCTAACGGCAATAACATGTAATGCATTTAGAGGATCACCTTTTGCAATAAATACAAAGTCAGACTTTTGAGTAGCCAGCAAAGGAATAGAATATGAATCTTGAACTTCAAGTTTTGAATTCTTAAATGTTTGAAATGTTTTGCATTTGCCAATAAAATATTCTTGTAATTTGTCTTCTGGAAGCTTCAGGTCAGGAAGCTGTTAAACTTTCCAGGTGATCTTCTTCAGATCACCTTAGTCAGTAGAAAGAGAAAATTAAGAGTAGTACTACATTCTTTCACATAATGTTCTTTTTCAGTTTCTGTTTCAGTAGCAAAACACATATATCAAATGGTATTTCCAAGGAAGTGAAGAATTGTATGGTCAGATTGACAACATATCTGGAGCACTAAGTCAGATTTCATATGTGTTTTAGGACCATATGTAACTCACATAATCGTGCAGGTTTTTTTTATAAATTATTGTATATAACATTACATATAACGTCATTATTTAAACCCTATGATATCCACCCCTGCATATATCAACAAAATTGGTCAGTCCCGTGGGGTGGATATTAAAGGAGGTTCACTGTATTCTTAAGAAAATTTTTTATTTCTTTAATAATAAAGTCTATACACTTTCCTTAATACTTTACTTCCTGAAGACTAATATCTTTCCTTATATATTTATCTTTTCTTCTTCAAAAACTTTGTATATTTTAATAACAAAATAAAAAGAACTTTATTTATTTGATTTATGACAAGAATATTTTATTGGAAAGAAGAAACCTGTCGAAAAAATATCCTTTATTATATTTTCTATAAATTTGAAATTCTAGAAAGTAAACTATTAATAAATGTATTTTCCAAGCTCTATAAGAATCTTGGGTCTACCATAAGTGAATACCTTAGGCTAAAGTGGATGGATAAGTTAATAGGAAGTTTATTAAGGTATATGATTTTTTTTCATCAATCATATACTATGGTAATACTTTTAAACATATCAAAAATTTTTTGATTTTTTCTAAGAAATTTTGCCTATCTCAGTTTGATTCTGAATTTTTTATTACACTAGAAATTCTGATTAGTAATTGGCCAAAATCTTAAACTAATTGATTAATATATAAAAGAAATATAAACAAGATATAGTAAATCCTCTTTAATATTCATTTTATTAATATTCACCTTTCTATTAGCAACAATAATTATAGAATGAATTTATCTATATATAAATTCCCTTGTATATATCAATTAAAAATATTATACCCTGTTAATATCCCTATTAACACATATCAAATTTTATTCCTAATTAAATATATCTCGTTAATATCAATATTTATATAAATTAGTATTTTAAAATTTAAAATTCTGATCTACAATATTATGTATTTACTACTTACAATTTGATTTATATTCTATTATATTACCAAAGCATAAATATATATTAAAGATAGAAAACAATAAAAAGAATTGTATGTAAGAATAACAGTTTATAATTATTCAAATATCATACTATATAAAATTCAAACACTGTTTTAAAAATTCTACTAAATAAGATAATAATCATAAATGAAGAATTAGAATATCCATGAAAGAAACGAATACACTTGACTATAAAGTCAAAGCAAGAAATATATTAATAAAAGCAAATTAATATATCCTTAAGTATTACTGAATTAGTTGAAGAATATAATTGCGATAGAAGTATAATTGCAAAGATTTTAAAAGAAAAGGATAAGTGGTTATCCAAAGAACTTATGAGTTATGAAGAAAAAATAAAGACTAACAGACCAGTAAAGTTTATGAACTTGGAAGATGCTTTGAGTATCTGGACATATAGGATTTTTTTTCAAAATATTGTATTAACTAATAGACTCTTATAACTATAAGCAAAAAAGTTTGCTAAACTTTTAAATATTTCTAAAAATGAGTTTAAAGCAAGTTAAGATTGGACCAATAGATTTAAAAAACAACATGATATTCATCATTTTAAAATTTATAGAGAATCAGAAAGTATACTAGTTGAAGATCTTTCTGAACAAAGATAGCAATTAATTGAACTACTTTTGCAATATCAACCAGAGAATGTCTATAGTACTAACAAAACTGATCTTTTTTTTTAAATAATACCTAATCAAACACTTGCAACCAAACCAGTAAAAGGAAAAAAGAAAGATAAGGAGCAGATTACTATACTACTTTGTATGAATGCATTTAATATAGATAAACTTAAACCACTAGTTATTGGAAAGTCAGCAAATTCTCGATGTTTCAAAAATATTCGAAAGAAAAATCTTGATATCAAATATAAAGTGAACAAAAAGGTATAGATAACAAATGATATTTTTAATCATTGAATAAAATCATTGAATCACATTAATAGTCTTAAACATAAAAAAATTTTAATTTTGATCGATAATGCTTGTTCTCATATAATTAACGAAGATTTGAATTATGTTAAAGTACATTTTTTGCTATCAAATATCATCTCTTATTTGCAGCCATATGATACTGGAATAATTAATTCTTTTAAACCTCACTATCAAAAATTATATTTTCAAACAGTATTGGAAACCATCGACTTTAAAAAAGAAATATCTCACCTCAATATAAAAAAAGTAATTGGTCTTTGTTCAAAAGCTTGGAGAAACGTAACTCCTTAAATTATTGTTAATTGCTAGCGAAAAACTGAAATAATACCATTAACTAAGTGGAATTGGCAAAATCAAGACACACAAAAATATAATAAGAATTCAAAATTAATAATTGATATTGAACAACTAGTTTCCGACTTTTCTACTAATAACATATAATTAATAATGGCTAATAATTATATTCATTTGAATGATACTATTAAGACAGAAGAAATTATTATTGATTATTATCGACAAAGAAGAAATTATAAAAGAAATACTTTACACATCTAATTCCGATAGTTGTAATAAAGACAGTAATATCAAAATCAAAAAATTTCTTACTCTACGGCATTGGAACAATGTAAATCACTTCTGCAGTATGTAGAACAACAAGATCCCATCAAATTTGTAGAAGAGCAAGACATGCCAAAATTACAAAGTCTTTTGTGACACATTCAATTAAATATATATTAAACAAGGCAACAAAAAAAGTTGACAGATTTTTTCATTCACAATTCATAAAAGATTGATTTAGTTTAATAAAAAAGAAATTTATTATAAATAAAGTTTAAAATTTACTCGAAGACATATAATTAAATATTTTGAATTCAAATAAAACTTTTAATAATATAAAATTTGCCTTATTATATTAAGTAAAAGACAAAAAATAAATCAAATCAAAATAGACTCCTATAATTTATACTGTTCTGATCTAGTTATCGAAAAAATAACTACTGAAGAAATAAAGGTTTGGATCATATTGTATTATCTGATATGTATTTGCCTAAACATAATAATATGAGAATAAGAAAAAAAATATATTTCATTTATAATAGAAACCTATTATGGCTTTTGCTTTCTCTTTTCCTCCTTCAAATAGCCAATTCATTTTTTGAACATTGAAATCAATATTTTTTCTTTCTTTAGTCAAATCAATAATGTCAATTGAAAATTGAACCAAGTATTTTTTCATAAATTTGTAAGTCAATCCAATATATTGTTTTTCGATATTTTTTTAGACTGAGGATAAAAAAAAATTCATGAATGAAAATAGTTATATATTAGAAGTTGATATAAAACTAAAAGATCTCCAAAAGTATAAGAAAATGTGATAATCATAAATATACATGTCTTTTAATCAATAAAGCCATTTGAGCATTGATGCAAATAGTCTGATACCACTATTTCCATTATCAAATAGAAGTAAAACTTTGTCACTAAATTTATTTTGTGATGTCTTGCCAAAATGTGAATATCCATTTTTCTGCTTGATATAATAAATGAATGATTTGTAATATTAAATTAAATATTATCCATACTTCAATTATTTGAACAGATATGTGGTCCAAGCCATTGTTTGGAATTGATTCATTAGATTGATATAATTGATATAATGAAGAAACTTCTGAATTTATATGGCTTGTTAATTGAACCGAAAAGGATAACTCAAAATTCAATTGGATTATGACTTTGAAGATATCTATTTTTTACCTTCGCATGTAGATCTGGAGAGCTCATCTGCAGTGTCCAAAACATATGCATCAAGATCTGTATAATAAAAAAAGCTTGTAAATACTATAGTTATTCCTTATTTGTGATAGTATCTAGAAATCTAAAATTGTTCATTTTCAACTCCACTTGTTCAATTGTAAGATGACTTTTATTTCTTATACCAAGAAAACGATTTATATCTCTCAATGCAAAGAAATAAAAAATTACTTAAAATACAATAGTGGATATATATTAAATTTTTATAAATTATTAAATGGAAATAATAATTACAGTATAGTAAAAACATAAAACCATTCATAAAATGAAAGTTTGCTGGTCATGCTATGATTTTACTGTTCTTTTGTTATATAAAGACTTTCAATTGAATTTAAAACATTATGCTTGCTCCAAAAAAAAATTTATATATTGCTTTATACATTATATACAAATAAATAAATAAATAAGTATGTACTGTATCAAAGCTGAAATTTTATTCAGTATAATAAAGAACTAGATTTTTGCCATATTGCAAAAAAAAAAAGAAAAAAAAGTATTAATGTTTAATTTTATTGATAAAACCATAATTTACATGTGGTGCCTATTTGCCAGATGGTTTAGGAAAAAAATTCTTGGCAGCTGCTCAACTGTATGATCTTGATTTTGATAATTGTTTTTCCTTTGCTTTATTGCTCAAGGTTCCATTTTTTTGTACTCGATTCAAATTTATCGATTCTGTTCGGGTTTTTTCAATAGTGACAACATGTAATATATTTAGAGAATCCCCTTTTGCAATAAATACAAAGTCAGACTTTCGAGTAGCCAGCAAAGAAATAGAATGTGAATCTTGAATTTCAAGTTTTGAATTCTTAAATGTTTGAAATGTTTTGCATTTACTAATAAAATATTCTTGTAATTTGTCTTTTGGAAGCTTCAGGTCAAGAGGCTGTTAAACTTTCCAGGTGATCTTCTTTGGATCACCTCAGTCAGTAGAAAGAGAAAATTAAGAGTATTACTATATTCTTTCACATAATGTCCTTTCTTAGTTTCTATTTTGATAGCTAAATACATATAGTATATCAAATAGTATTTTCAGGAAAGTAAAGGATTGTATGGTCAGATTGGCAATATATCTGAAGCACTAAGCCAGATTTCGTATGTCTTGTTTAATATAATCTAATATATTTTAGGATCATATGTAACTCACATAATAATGCA